GTAATACAACATTCCGCAACTAACTCATTAGTTGCAATGCTTGCAAGGTTTAAGTGATGTGCATTACCGAGTGGGCCCAGAGATACCGCTCCGACAATCGGAGTGACAAATCCTAATCTCGAAATACGCCAACCCAACAAGTACCTTCGGAGACACCTGTAGAGCACCTTTATAATTACCCAGTTACGTTGTGACGTTTGGTAGCACACAAAATGTTCCTCCGGTAAACGGGAGTTGCATAATCTCATAGTCATAGGAACATGTATAAGTCATGAAGAAAGCAATAGCAACATACTAAACGATCAAGTGCTAAGCTAACAGAATGGGTCAAGTCAATCACATCATTCTCCTAATGATGTGATCCCGTTAATCAAATGACAACTCATGTCTATGGTTAGGAAACTTAACCATCTTTGATTAACGAGCTAGTCAAGTAGAGGCATACTAGTGACACTATGTTTGTCTATGTATTCACACATGTATTATGTTTCCGGTTAATACAATTCTAGCATGAATTATAACCATTTATCATGAAATAAGGAAATAAATAATAACTTTATTATTGCCTCTAGGGCATATTTCCTTCACATTCTTGTGAACTGTTGCAAAAAATTGCTTGTTTCTTTGATGTGGTTGTGGTGCTTCTCTTGGATTAGCTTCTTCTCTTCTCCTAGCTTCAGTATGAGCTTCTCTTTAGCATCATTCTCATTGCTACTCTACTCATACATATCCCAAAGTTTGCGAAGTGCATTTTTCATGGGTTATGGCCATTCTGGGTCAATCCATTGAACCAGACCACAATTGTCACCTTCCTATAATAATTCAGACAAAACCAAAGTTAACAGCCACATTCAGATAAGTCAGTTAACACCTATATTCAGATAAGTCAGTTAAACAGCTACATATATTCAGTTAACAACTATATATATTCAGTTAATAGCAACATATATTCAGTTAACTGAGCTCATTGAACACCAGACACATTCAGATAAGCATTGATTAAACCTGACACATTTCCCCCTCAAAACAGCTGATAAAGCAACATGTTCAGAAAATTAAGTACAGAACTATATTCAGTTAATAGACAAATAAACACATATTCAGTTCACTGAGCATCAAAGAAAGGATTTGTATAATCTACATGTACAAAAGAGGCCCTGCCACTAACCTGATTACCGCATCCATAAAACCTACGACCAGTGTTGATTCCTTGAAACACAACAGCCTTATGAACAGGAACGTTGTGACATCACATCGGTCCTCCGGCAACAATACCGCACCACTCCGGGTCAACAATGGTCTGTGGGATCTACAATAGTGCAACAATCCTCAAATCCTAATTCAAATCCAGGAAAACTAAGCTCAAATCGAAGAAAACCCTAACCTTAAGTCAAAGAGAAATGATACTCACGTAGGTCTCGTCCGCGTCCGAGTTGAAGAGGGGGGACACAGACTCTTCGCTGCTAGTTCCGCCGTCCTTCCAGGACACCATCGCTGTGCCGCAGCAGGCGGCGACAAATGGACAGCGGAGGTGGCGGCAAACGCGCCGCAGGCAGAGAAGAAGGCGAGAGAGAGGGGAATGGACGAACGGGTCGGGCTGGGTCGGGCCGGCTCGTTAGGTCACGGGCGCCGTCTAACGGCACGCGTCACGGGCGCCGTCTCCCCTGCCCATGTGGCGCCTGACAGCGAGCCCAACTGATCAGTTTTCCACTCAACCGCGCCAAACCGTGCGATCAACGTTATTTGAAAACTGTCAGCGCAAACGTGGTGGTTTTTTGAAGAAAAAAAATGAAAACTGGTGGCTTTCTGTTTCAGCGTCCTCTAAGATGCGGATAAGATTGTTGAAGGCACATTATCTCGGATCCCTTGGCGATGAAGTGCATGCTCCCAGCAAAGGTCATCATGCCCTCAGGAAGCACTGCAGAGGCAGGATGCATGCAGAGTCATCAGCGACAAAATGGAACATATCAAAACGCACAAGCTGCCCGGGCCTAAGCCCACCGCCGATTGCCAGAGGGGATCCAAACTAGACCACTCCTCCAGCGCGTGCTTGCCCCACAATGGGCGCCAATTATCGCCGGGATTTCATTGAAATACTCATGATTTGTGGATTTTGTGGAAGCGAGGCGCACCTTGATGATCTAGGTACGGGATTTCACACATAAGAGGTTTTACCCAGGTTCCGGCCCCATGTTCTGGAGATAACACCCTACTCCTAGAACAATGGTTGTTAAGCCTTGTACAATGCAGGGTGCTTATGGAAGGTGCTTAGAAAAATAAACCAAATTTTCTAAGCATTGGTGCTTATTTATAGAGCGTAGACACTTAATTAAGCACCCCTTATATAGGGACAAACACCGGTCCTTGAACAAAACCAGGTTTATTTTACAAAGCATCTCCACTAAGCGCCTTGCATTGTACATGGCTTTATGAGCCATGATGATGGTCGTTACTAATGGAATTACCCCCAGGCCAAACAATTCAACAAAGGTAATATATTAATATCGCGAAGATGTCAATTACACCCTGTCTTTGTACCAACAAGATGCCCAAAGGCATCCAGGATACACACAGCAAAAGAAGAGAATAAAAAGAACAGAAGAAAAAAAGACTCCGCGATGGTGGTCAATCACTAGCATCAGCAACACTCTAACCACCAGCGAAGACAATACTCAGATTACAAAAGAGGTTCTCCAAAAGCAACGCCTCCAAGAAGGAAATAATGCACAAGCGTTGTTGTTGCCCGATCGAAGATCTTGGGTTTTCACCCTCGAGAAAGTCCGAGTTCACCCAAAAACAATGCCTTAAACAAGGCCATTGCCAGATACAACCAATAAAACCCAGACCTTGGGTTTTCACCATTGGAATCGAGACTCGGTACTCGAGGAGCACCACCAAAAATGCAGCCCTCCAGTGTTGCCACCCCCACTTGCCGAGGACGCTATTGCAAGTCACCAAACACCAGGCACCTGGCACAGAGTCTTCATCGTATCCAACACACCCTTCCACCAAAGCTTCAAGACCCCAATCGCAGCTGCCATGACTTTCTCCACTCTATCAATGCCTTGGGAATCTTGACTTAGACATGTCTCATGACACCAATAAAAAATCGAAGCTTCGCGCCGCGCCCTCTTGAGGCCGCGTTGGATGATAATATGACCGCGCGTGACCGGAGCCTTTCCAATAAAGTTATCCAGGGACGAAATACGCCAATCCATGTAGATCTCCTACGAGGAATACCGGAACTCATCAGCGGCCGGATCCAAGAGGTCGACATCTGGCAGAGAGACGACTTGGTAAAAGAAGAGCGCTAGGGCCAAACCATTACACGATCCCATCAAGCCACTAACCGGCCGCCGCCGCCCCACAACATTGTCGCAGGAGAAGCCGTAGCGGGCGACGCCGCCGCGGGCGGCACCGCCACCCTCGAGATCAACGCCTCGGAGGACCTACCACCGCCGCCTCGCTGCACGGGCCGGATCCCCGTGCAATCCGGATACCAACGGCTAGCAGGACCCGGCCGCCGTCAGATCCGACAGACTAGCTGCGGCTAGACCATACGTGGGCAAGGCCCCTAACCTGGCCCGAGGCACAACAGTGGGAGCCCGATGAAGCGGCCGATCTACCGAAGCACCACCACGAGCGTCTGAGTCACCAGATCGAGACGAACAGGGACCAGCAGCGCGTGGAGGCCGGGAGGCGCCCCGGGATCAAATGGAGAGGTGAGCAGGAGAAGGAAGGGACGCAGGCAGCGAGGGAGGATTGCCGGTGGCGGCGAGTCATCCCGTGAGTCGCAAGAGCAACCCATGAGACCAGGACGAGTTGGTTGTCGGGCGAGCGACTGAGGATCACCCCCACGCCATAATGTTGTCGTGAAGGCACCATTGGTGATGTCTCCATTTATTGAACATGTATGGTTCAATCAAATGAAAGCCACGTCATTTATTAGCCAGATGGACTTCAAGATGCCAGCAAAGCCGTGTTATTCACTGCATGCACACTCGAGTTGTTCAAACCAGCTGTGCCGGATCCTTGTCATGGGCCTACCTAGGAGGGATCCCGCCGTCACCAAGTGCATGTGTGCATTTGTTAGGATGTATTATGATCATGGAAATATTTCTAATAAAATGGTAAGTCCACCTAAGTCTAACTAATGAAGGCCGCCAAAAGTCTCAATGGCAGTTTTAATCAAGTCTAATTTCATAAGAAAACACATGACCCTAGAATTCTATTTGCACAAGGCATGTTACACAACACACTAGTGGTTGGGGTGCTCAATTGCACGCCGCCTGAGATGAAGGTGTGCGCTCGTTTCTCCATCTCGAAGAAAAGAAGGAAAAAAAACTAACCTCCATCTCACAAAGAAAAAAACTCACCTCAACCAACCAGCAGATGACATGTGGCCCTCACATCCACCTCAAAAAGAAAAGAAAAGAAAAGCCTCACTTCCATCTTAAAATAAATAAATAAATAAACTATTCTCATGAAAAAAAATCATTCCCACCGCAACCAACCAGCAGATCCCACTTGACATGGCTGGTTGCTCACCCTTTCTTTCCCACCTAGGATCTTGGATTGAGCGGAACAATTTGATCCTAGCAAGAATCAGAGGGCTAGTTTGGGAGAGCTCCAACCCTTTGATTCTTGAAGGATATCAAGTACGTAGGCTAAAATAAGATGATTAAAGCATAACAAACAAAATGCACCACCGAAACACCCCCAATTCCAGCTCCATTAAGGTGGTGTTTGTTTCTCTAGTCCTAGGACTTTTTCTAGTCCCTGGGACTTTTTGAAAAAGACTCTCAAGGAGGTGCTTCTAAAGACTTTTAGCAAAAAGTTCCAAAAAAGTCCCACCTGTTTGGTTTGCTAGGGACTTTTTCTAGTCCCTACACCAAAAAGCCCCTGGAAACAAACACCCCCTAAGTCTTGGGACTATGGATACCCAGCTCCACTAACTTGTGGTCCTGTTTGCGAGAGCACCATCTCCAAGAATACACTGTTCAGTTGTGGTGTTCAAGTAATTGGCATGGCATGGCATAAAGGTACAGCAATCTTACAGGGTCAGGAATATTAGGGTCGGCACCAGCTTCCAGTAACAACTTCAAGCATGCAGTTGAGCCTTTCATCTCAGCAGCAATAACTAAAGGGGGTAGAATACCGTCATTGACATCCGGACCAGCCTGCAAAATAATACTAAAGGGGATACAGGAACTCTGTATGCGTTGTTTGGTTCATTGCCGATTAGACACGGCGTTTTCTTGCGTAAAACCTTAGTGTAGCGCGGCCACAAAAATTTCTCAAAGGTAGCTCAAATAATAAACACCATCGAAGAAGGCCAGACCTACATTAGTGTCGAAAAATGTAGCATTGAACCAAAATTGACTTGAGTAATTCTAACTTTCTAAGGCCTAACACAACTAAAATGAGGACTGCAGCCACTATACCTCAACCAGGAGCTTGACACATTTCAGTGAGGGAGCACTTATAGCAACAAGAAGAAGGGTGTCAATACCAGGTACTTTCTTATTACACTGGCAAAAAACAGATAACACACGATTTACAATACTCAAGTAAGATGTAGGAAAGAGCAGACAAATAGAAGGAAGAATGCATTTGTTGTCCTGTGGCCTTCTGTAAAAAGAAGAAGGGAAAAAAATCAATAGCATTGCATAAGCAAACATGTACTGTATCAACAAGAGTTTCTGGAATAATATATTGAGCATTAATGCCTTGGGGGCCATTTTGAGCAGTTAGACCCTTTTTTTAGTTCTGTCCCATGTATCTATTAAAAGGAGTAGACGTACAACAATAACAGCCCACCCGTTTAATCTTTTCTTCCCAAGCAAGCTGGGTAGGCTAGAGCCAAGAGATGAACCCACCAAGAGGCACCAAAAGAAGTAAACGTATATGAAAGAAAAACATCTTTTGTCATGAATTACTAGAGGGAATACGAATTCAGAAACTTGCAGTGGAGCCTATATTGAAGAAGCAAGTAGGATGGAGCTGCAAGAAGATATGGTGCGTAGAGTATGCATGGAGCTAGATTTTTGTTGTGAAGTAAAGAAATCATAGATGGCCAGAGCTCTTCGAGAATGCAGCCTTACTAGAACTTAAAGAAGGGTTAACAGAGTGCGCTTAGTCACTGCTACAAAGGCCTGATTTTGAATAATTGCTAATTTTTTTGCTAATTTAGCTGATTGCGCTCAGACTTCCCAACTTTTGAAGAAAGGCAGTAAAGCGGACTCAACACAACAGCCAAGTAAATGAAGCATGAAACAATGCAGCTAGCCAAAATTAGTAGGAAATAGTATGTTGTTAAACCTACATCCGCGTTGTTCTCCAACAAAATTTGCATAATTTCATCATGCCCTTCCAAGGCAGCGGCATAAAGTGGTGTCCCTTCAGAAGATACTGGGTCAACAGAAACTCCTTTTGCAAGCAAGAGTTCCATCATTTTAAGGTCTCCTAAGTAAAGCAAAAAGATGAAAACAGAATCCAATAGGTAATTACTACAAAGTAGAACTGATTGTGTGATGGGGAAAATTCAATATGATCAAGATACACACCAACTAAAAGTGCATGCCCTGGAATAGTTACAAACAGACAAGAGGGCAGAATATGGGAAAATGGAAAACTTTTAAATCCTAAGGGAATCATCTAAGACAAAACGTAAATGGCACCAATGTTCTTCTATTCACATATAATCAAAATCATGAAAGAATTGTCAAACAAGTTCTTCTTCTACATCTTTCCAACACACATAGACATCATAATGGAACAGTATTGTAAGAGAAATACCATGTGCTGTTCTGGCAGAGAAGTACCTGCTTTAGCAGCATGGTGAAGTGGGGCGAACCCTTTGTAGTCAGCTTTGCCTGGATCTGCCCCATGATCAAGAAGATAACTGGCGGCATTCATGCTTCCATGAATCAATGCCACAAGCAGAGGTGTTCGACCTATCAAAATGAAGACGTTTCCTCTCAGAGCATGTCAGAATGTACAAAGTTAATACATAAATATGTCATAACATAACACTTTGTTTTCTACTCCCTCAGTTGACAAATAAAAGATGTTTTGGATATTTCAGTATGAAGTACATACATGCGGACTGAAATGAGTGAACAAACACACTAAAACATGTCTATATGCATCTGATTCACAAAATAGCATGACGGTTGTAAATTGCTGGTCAATTTACAGTTTCCTATAGCCCAATTCTGAACGCAAGTCATATAGGAGTACAGTTCAGACACATTTACAGTTTAGAGGCAAATTAAATGCACCTCCATCATTGACGGCGTCCACATCGACCCCTAGCTCCTCGACCAGGTACCTGCACACCCATAGCCTTCCCTTCCCGGCAGCGAAGTGCAGCGCCACGAGACCTTGGTCCTTGGCCGCCTCCACCACCTCCCTGGGACGGCCCCTGCCCTTATCCAGATCTCTCACCAGCCCTGCGACGCGACGAACGAGCAAGTCAGTGCCTCCCAGTCCCAGATCCAAACAAAACCCGCCCGGAATCGCCCACGTACTCTTGAAGAGGCGGAGGTCGCCGCGGCTCGCCGCGTGGAGGAGCGGAATCGATCCGTCGGCGGGCGGAGGGGGCGGGCTAGGGTTTGGAGGGGTGGCGCGGCGCTTGGCTGAGGTGGCAGCGGGGTGACGCCGCGCCATGGTGACAAGCGGTGGCAAGGTGGCGGCGGGGTGAGGCCGTGGCGA